CCCGCCCCCAGCAAGCAGAAGCGGCAGCAGAGCCATGTGCCACTCAGGACAGGACAAGCCCAGCCGGAGCAGCAGGGACTCGGCTGCATTTTCCCCCTGCCTGCACCAGTTGGTCCGGAGTGACACATGGCTCCGCCGCCGCTTCTGCAGGCTAGTGCAGACCCAGCCAGGCTCCTCCAAGCTCTAGCAGCATGTGGGAATCCGGCTTCAGCCGCGTGCTGCTCTGGATGGGACAGACCTGTCCAAATTGGCACCAGGCAGCAGAGGTGGCGGTGGAGCTGTGTGCTGCTTAGGACTGACCAGCGCAGGTAGGGGGAAAGTGCAGCTGAGCCCCTGCTGCTCTGGCTGGGCTCATCCTGTCCCAAGTGGCACATGGCTACTCCTCTTCCCACATGCACCGCATTGGCAACGTCAAGCTGACATGGTGCGTGTGGGAACCTTGTCCCTTCCCCAGCCCTTCAGCAGCCATTAGGAAGCTGCTGAGGGGCTGGGGGAGAGACAAGGGGTGGGAATGAAAGTAAGCAGTGTTTACTTTCATTTCCCGTCGCAGCACCGCGGGCCACAGAAAACGGCTTGGCGGGCCGCATGTTGGACAAGCCTGAACTATACATAAATATTTATTTGTGTGTTTGTAAGTCTCACACAGCTAGATAAAGAGTTTAGATTATTATTAAGTCTTAATAAATCATTAGCATGCTGTTCAATTACACACATTCCTTATCTAAAGAGTATATAGCTTCAGGCTTCAATGTACATGGAGTCTTATATCTGTACTGTACCCTACAGATTTAATTACAGATTAGGGACTCAAGTAGGACAGATATGTAAGAATTCAGGAATTACTGATCCAGGCAACATAGGAAAGGTTTCTGGAAGAACAGAGTTTTGCAGAAAGGGAAAATATAAGGCATAGCTTGAAAAATGACATGTAGTTGAGAACATTAAAAGAAAATTGAGAACCATAAATAGAGTAGTTTAAAAAAAAAAACAACCCTTTCTTATTAAATTTTAATGATGACAAAAAGGTGCAAATGGGAAGCAATTTAGACGGTCACAATTGGATATGAAGTGCTAAGAGAGAGACCAAAGAGATGCAAAGGGATAAGCCATTATCAGAATTAAAGAAAAAATATATAATTTTAACATCGGGTTTTGAAAGTTTACTTAAAATTGTATTGTCTTTAATTTCTGACGTTGCTTTGTATCTTGTAAGACAAGACTGGTATTAATAGAGAACTCAATGGATGAGCACTTCCACAGATATTTTCACATAGATAATACAGGGAAAATTAACCTTATAATTTCAAAATAAAAGCAATATTTTAGAGAGAATACTGCTGAGGTCTTTGTGACAAATATTTATATATAATGTATTTTTACCTCTCTAGAAATATTTTAGAGATAAAATATTATTCTGAGTAAACAACAGTTATATTATTCACTGTACATGAACAGAATAAAAACAAAAACATACTTTAAATATTAAATATGAGAGCTATAGGATAAATCTCTTAAGAGATTTAAGAGTGGCCCCATTGTCCTCAAGAAAGCAAATCAAAGGAATAATTTTAAATATATGCATAAGCTTTTGAAGCAGTATGACCTTAATTCTTACCTTCAGCATACAATTCCAATTGACAAAAGGCTGTTCCACGTCTCACATACGCTTTAACTCTAGCACTAGCGTTGTCCGAAACAGGTGGTGTCAGCAAGTCTAGAGCCTTTACAAATAAAAAAAACATATTTAAGATATACATTATTAGACTTTTTGATAGCCTTATTTCCCATATCTAGATAGAATCATACACTTAAAAGTTATTGCTTATTTTTGTGAGTATGTGTTATAAATATAATCACACTGAGATATGCACACCACCATTCTTTTGTAGGAACAAAAATGTAAGTGTAGTTTTACAAGTGATAAATTGTGCCACAGTATGGTTTCTGAACCTTATCTGGACTAAAACTCAGACATACAATGTGTTCATGTTTTTTGTAGCCAACAAATACATTATGAGAGTCAGTAGTGCAAGTCATACTACAAACAAAATACTGACCAGTTTTTCTGCTGTATTACCACAGTTACTAAGAACGAGAAGTTTCCAGCCTGATATAGGAAATAATTCAAAAGGATAGTGATTTGGGAACATAATTTTTCAAAATATTCACATATCATGGGGTTTTTTAAATATTAAGGAAAAAATAGTGGCTTAACAAAAGTGGCTTCTACCCTATTAGATAACAGCATTATAAAAATGTTCTATTTTTGCACAAATAGTGGTTGCTAAAATATTGAGAACTTCTAGCATTTTTTTTAAGATATTGCATTTTTGCTACATCCATTCCTTCAATTCTTTTACAATTCTTTGCAAACAAAATCTTTTAAAAATATAAATACTCCTGAATAAGTTCCTTTATTATAGTTACTGATCTAACTACCTATCAAGTTCTTTCTTATGCAATTATATCGCATTATGCAAAATTTTGAAACAATCAGGCAATCATTTCTCTTTTAAAATTCAGTTTAGTGTTAAACTATCACTAAGATTGGAAGATCAAAAACATGGTTTCAAACATGTTGGTGGTATGAATTTAACAGCTTAGTATAATATCCATGACTATTTACATTTCCATTTTTTTTTTTTTTTAATTCCTGGCTACATGCTGGTATAAAAAAAAAACAAAAAAAAAAACACAACAACAAACTTATCCATGTATAAGAAAATGGATAACTACAGAAAGCCATGATTGTTTAACATTATTTATACCTTTGATGAATCTTCAATGCTCTTGTGCAAGTTTCTCAATTTAAGGTGGCAAGCAGCACGATTTAGATACAGTACTGGAATCTTATTATTTAATCGAATTGCCAAGTTATATGCATTTACAGCTGCAAGATAGTTTCCTGTTGAAAACATCTTACTATAAACATAACAAAAAGTAAAAAAAAGATTTTAAAACAATGATAAACAAATGGCTACCTAATATAAACATTTTGCATTAACCATTTTAAAACAAGTTTTTAAAGTTTTCCACTAAAAACTGATTATTTATGACATTTTTGCATATACAGTAAGCAACTGAGATGAAGTCTACTCTACAGTAATTTCATGCTGGTAATACAACACACTAACAGCCAATCTGGAAAAAAAGTAAATAAAAATAAAACAACTCACACCAAGGAAGTGGAGAAATAGAGCACATTTACATAGACATGCAATGAGAGATTCTTAAAACCAGAATTTTCTTGAATTGACCTTTCTGCATGAGACAGCATAGGATTTCACCTGCTAACTCCTAGACCAAGCCCACACCTTTTTTTGAACAGTTTTCCAATCTTAATTTAAAAAACACAACGAATGAGAAATCCATGACCTCTATATTATTCTAGCATTAGTATTTCCCTCAGTGGAAAAAAAACAAATACCGAATTAGATCCCACTCCACTTCTTAAGCTTCCGAGTCTCCAACTGCAATCCTGTTGCATACCACACAAGCTCCTAAGTAATATCTACTTTTGTAGAAGGCTTTCATCTTAGCCCTAAAGATTTCATAGTTTCATAGTTTTAGGGTCGGAAGGGACCTAATAGATCTTCTAGCCTGACCCCCCGCCAGGGCGGGAGAACAACAAAAAACCCTAAAAACAAAAACGGGACTCAAATGAGTCCAGCCAGGTAGGCATCCAGCCTCTTCTTAAAGACCCCCAGGGTAGGGGCCAGCACCACCTCCCTTGGAAGTTGGTTCCAGCTCCTAGCCGCCCTAACTGTGAAGTAGTTTTTTCGGATGTCCACTCTGTACCTCCTCTCCATCAACTTGTGCCCATTACTCCTTGTTATGCCAGCGGGGGCTAGGGGAAACAGCGTCTCCCCCAAACCCTTCTGGTTCCCCCTAGTGAGTTTACAGACGGTCACCAGGTCCCCCCTCAGCCTTCTCTTGTGGAGGCTGAATAGGTTCAGGTCCCGCAGTCTCTCACTGTAGGGTCTGCCCTGTTGTCCCCGGATCATGCGGGTGGCCCTCCTCTGGACCCTCTCCATGTTGTCCACATCCCTCCTGAAATGGGGCGCACAGAACTGGACACAATACTCCAGCTGCGGCCTGACCAGCATCGCATAGAGGGGGAGGATCACCTCCCTGGCTCTACTCGAGATGCACCTGTGGATGCACGACAAGGTCTGGTTAGCCCTGCCAACCATGACCTCGCATTGTCGGCCCATGTTCATCTTGGAGTCAATAATGACACCAAGATCCCTTTCCGCCTCCGTGCTTTCATAAAGCAGCAAAGAGAAGGAAGAGGATCCAGCATCTTCTGCTTTAACAGTTTTTCAGGGCCTTGGTCAGACAGGAATAAAAATCACAGAAATGCCTAATACCTGGAATGACAAGGTTCTTTGGGTGAATCTAATACCTTTTATTAGACCAACTTAAATAGTTGGAAAACAATTATTAAGCAAGCTTTCAGGTTCAAAAACCCTTCATCAGGCTAAGGAAGTTTCTGCAGTTGGTGTGTGCTCTTCCTCGATGGAATGAATAGTAAAGAAGCCAGAGGCTGGGCTGGTATGCATACAAGATAGGCAGTCAGTGAAAATGTAGATTGTATGCATATCAGCCCAGCCTCTGGCTTCTTTACTATTCATTCCATCCAGGAAGAGCACACACCAACTGCAGAAACTTCCTTAGCCTGACAAAGGGTTTTTGAACCCAAAAACTTGCTTGTTTTCCAACTATTTAAGTTGGTCTAATAAAAGATATCAGATTCACCCAAAGAACCTTGTCTGCCTATGTCCTTAGACCAACACAGCTACAACCTACACCCCTGTAATACCTGGAATAGGATCCAGTTCAGAGGTTGGCAATGTTTTTGGACAGAATGCCAAGCATATCAGCAATCTCTACTTGGAAGATGTTGGTGTGCCGGGGTGGATGGTGGAGAAGCTCTGAAAAGCCCAATCCTTGTTGTAGCAGTGCAGCTCTGGCCCCTTCCCCACCATCTTCCTGGAGGCACACATGCCAAGCAAAATGCCTTTACATGCCACGCTCTGGTATGAATGCTGGGAATTGCTAACCCCTGATCTAGTTTCTTATGTCCAGTTTGCATCTGCCTAGTTTCAGCTTCTGAAGTTCATATATTCCTTTTTTTGTCTCCAGAATTAAAGATCCATCTACTTTAAGTAATTTTATTCATATCTTGAATAAGGTCATATATTGGTTACTTGTAAAATAAGCAGAAAAGCAGTAACAGAAAACATTTTACTTGGAAAGTTAGAGGGCAAACTGGAAAGGTTCAGCTTGCTCTAGCAAACAGAATCATTACTTAACTTTTAAAATAGAAGAGCATGCAATTATGTTTCCTATTTGATTTAAAATACATCTTGAAATGAGTTCTAACTCACTTTCCTTTATCCTTTAACCAGTCTGGGTTTTTCTCCTCTTCTTTTAAGTCATCAAGCTCAGAAAAGTCAGCGTTCATTGCTCTTCGAGCCTCTGCTTGCTTATACAGCCACTATGATAACACGTGTACACAACACGTAAGCATGGTTTCTATAAGAATTACTTTTTCATGTTTGTTTTTATTTTGTTTTCAATCCTTTCACTCACTCCTTCAAGTATGACTTAATTATCCCATATTTGGTAGACATGCGTGGTTAGTAATTCAAGAAAAGAAAAGCTGCAAGACTTCCTGTATATTTTGTTTCTAAATACACCCCAGGGAATTATGTGCAGAAAAATTCAAAATTATACACCGAGTCCCGGGGGCTACATATGGCAATACACAGTCAACCTGGCCTAGCCTGGCCTGCACCTTCGAACCAAACCAGGCAGGCTCCATGCCAGCATATGTGGCTCACAGCACTGCAGACAAGAGCTGTGCATCATCGGGCTGAGAGGACTTGCTGCCTCCAAGTGAGGCTTCCAGCACTCCAGTGGGAAGCCACATGTGGGGGCACGGAGGTGTGCATCATTGGGCCAGGCTGGCTCCATGCCTCCACGTGCAATTTCCCACTGGAATGCTGGAAGCCCCACATGGAGGCGCACAGCCGACCAGCCTGGCCCAATGGTACATGGCTCCCACCTAGTGCCATGAGCCGCACATGCTGGCACAGAGCCAGCCTGGTTTGGGTTGAAGGTTCATGCCAGCAGGCTGGCCAGGCCATTTCTGTGCTACCAAGTATAGCCTCTGGGGGAAAACAGTGGCATGTGGCAGGTCCCCCCCCCCAAAATAAATCTACTGCCCTGCCCTGCCTGGTCTCCTGCAGGCAAGAGCTCCTCTCCCCACTTCCCAGCTGTCCACTCACACACCACCACACTTGGTGCCTCCACAGAGCTGGATGCAGAGCCTGCCCTGATTAAATTATGCAGTTATGCACAGTCATTTGTTTTATGCACACAATTGTGCGGCTGCATAATTACATAATTCCCCAAGGTGTATCTAAATGAGAAGTAAGAACAACCAGATTTCTCCCATTTTAACTTCCATCACCAACCATATCGTTACTCGTATTTTGGTAGTTTTACTTAGTTTAATAAGACAATAGAGGACTGAATTCCACAGATTTCAGTCACTCATCATGAAAGAATAGCACAAAAAACAAAAACCCTAAAAAATTAAAAACATCCATACCTCCTCCTCTTCTGCTACTCGGGATTCTCTGAGAGCTGTAGGAAAGACCCGAGGTGTAAAGTTGATTTTAATAGCACCAGCAGTTCGAGGAGCAGGGAAAGACTCCTCTTTCAACTTCTCTGAAAATATATTTCCTGTAACTGCAAGAACAGAAATGGTATATAGAAAAGTAAAGATAAGTTCTCTTTCTTGTTCTCTAATCACATTTTGAAGTACAAGTTAGATGTATACCTACAGGCTTTTGTTTGTTTGCCTGGGTTTTTTTTGAGAAAGTAGTTCTAAAAACGTTTAATCATGCAATTTTATTAAAGATGTTTGCTAATGATATCATCAGACAAGTAAATCCAGAAGGTACAAAACCTTTATACATGTTGCATTTCCTATTAATGTATTTTAGCTTTAATGTGGATATCAGATACAGGAAAAGATTTAAACTTTGGAAAATTATGATTACACTGAAAGGTATCTGTAGAGTTACCCAATCACTTTTAAAGCGCACATTAAACTGCATATCGTTTAATGGTCTTGAGGTGCTTCAGCATGAACTTGTTTCTCTGTTAATGAGAGAAACAACAATCAATATTATAGAAAAATCATGTTATTGTTTTGCATACCGTGTTTGATGCTGAAGTTCTCTAAAAACATTATAAAGAACATGTATATACTGTGTGTGTGTGTGTGTGTGTGTGTGTATATATGGCTAAACTTATTGGCTGTAAGCAACTAATACTGCTTGTGACACTCATTGTAACACCCAAGACTACAAAAATGACATATTTCGTAAGTGGTAATAGCTTGAATATAAGGGGTCCAGAAAAACTGAACTGAGCTCTAGGTGTAAAAACTAGAAGCATAAAAGTTATGTATTCAAATTTTAAATATTCATAAATCTGTTTTAGTTCACTTTTCTGAAGAGAATAATGGAGGATAATGCCAACACTTTCTCTTGGTAAAAAACCTCTTACCACATTATGCTGACAGAGAAAGAAAGCTCCAAAAAAGGAAAAGAAAGAGGGAGAACTGAGAACTATAATTTACCCTTCGTCATACATACAGATCTCAAAAGATTTCAATGGCAGCTAAGATGTCATATATATATATAAGCTCAACATATTAATTGAAAGTAAACAAGAAACAAAAACATCTGTAGTCAAAGAGAAGAATAACGGGTTCAGCGTGGAACAAAAACAAAATACACTAAAAATGCCTAGAAACATTTAGGAATTACATTTAGCCTGGAAATGGAGACAAAAACGTTACTCCTCTAATATTACCTTTTGCAGGTAAACTTGTATTCTTGTGAGTTCCTTCCCTCAGAGCCATACTTTTATTTATTTTTTGGTTTTTCTTTTCTGTTTGTTTCCTTTCTTGATGCACTCTCTCTTCTCTCTGTTTCTCATTTCTCTGATTTTTCCAAATCTCCAGCTCCTCAGTAACCTTTTTTCTCTCTTCTTCTTTCAGCTCTTCAATTCTTTTTCTCTCTGCTTCTTCTAGCTGTTTGAATTACAGAGGAGTGAACATACATCATACTTGGAGAAAATTAGAGGAAGAGAAATAAGTGACATCATTAGCTTCCAAGCCTATATTCCGAGCATAACACTGTTGCTAATATGAGAGAGCAGACATATTTGGGAAGGAAGCATCATGGGACCTGGTTGTTCTTTGACAGTAGCACCAATTCCATCTTTGTTTCAATAAGAGACCATGGCTCTAGCAAGATATTCAGGAATTCTGTGCTTCTAGAGCTACTATATCCTTTTGATTAGGCCCTGGTCACTTATGATTACAAAGAATTCTGTATCACCATTCATGCAAGTAAGGGTTTTGCCCCATTATCCTGGCTATATTCCAGTTTACAAAGTGTTAAAAAAAAAAAAAAATACAATTTTGGGGTCAATTATTCCTTACAATTTAAAAAAAACAAAACACCTTATTACCCAGGTAGCATGGCTATCACATTACCAAAACCATTCCTACAATTTTAAAAGATGTAAACATCATTCTTAGGGTATTTTTAAAAGCTACTGTACAAATTAAACAGTACCCAGATGTAGCATCGCTCTGAATAATTAATTTGAAGAAGGAACACCATAGAGTTCTCTTATATTTCATGAGTAATCTTAACAACAAAATACATGGAATAGAGGAATTGGAAGGGACCTCAGACGTTCATCTAGCCCAGGGCACTCAACTTTTGGCCCACGGGCCAAATCCAGCATCATGACATCCAACCCACAGGAATCCCTGCAGATCAGAAGAATTGGCAGCTGAAGTGGGAGAAGCTCTGTGCAGCTGAGTCCAACCCAACCTGGGCCATTGCAGCAAAGTGGGCTCAGAGCTGGGTCTGTTAGCTGGACATCAGGATCAAGCCAGGCTACTCCCCCACTCCATCCCACAGGCTTCCAGATTGGGTCTGGGTTGTTCCTCCCCTATCTCCATCTTACACATCTGGATCAGGGCCACTCTGCTCTGCCCCATTCCCCCCACTTTCCTCTCCACTCATCCAACTGGGAACCAGCCTGCTCCCTGCCCCCACCAGCAGATGGATCAGGGTTGGGCTGTGCACCCACCTGTGACTGGAAGGAGTTCGGTCTGTCAACACTGTGCCAGATCCAGCCCATGGCTGGACTTGACACTGCCCATCCAGCCTGCAGGGCAAAAAGTCTAGGCATCACCGATCTAGTCCAACCCCCTGGTCCATGCCAGAATCATCCCTGACTGAACTGTTACTTGACTCAAGTTATCTCAAGTAGTCAGCAAGCATGGCACACAAAAGAAAAATGAGCGAATAAAAATCTTGCTTATAAAATAAGCACTTTCTGCACATGGAGGTGTTCAGGAATGGACGTAAACAACTAGCAGTGGAAACAAGTGATATTTGAAAATTGCCAGCATGATATTCCAGCACAAATGTGAATAAAATGTTTCAAGAGTCCATGTTGCTTAATCAATACAAAGTAGTAGCTTTAGCTTTTTCATGCTGTGTCAAATGACTGCAGTCCCAATTCCCTTCCAACTGCCAACCTCTTCTCTGAATCTCCTCAACAAAAAGATCAATTTATATTGAAAATGCTGACGATCACATCTGTACTTCAACTTCTTCTTGGGTACAATACCCATGTCTAGCAGCAGCTGCAGATCCAGAGAGGGTGCAGTGGCATAGAAGCATCTTCTTTCAATTGACAATGCCACATGAGCAGCTGCCAGGGGCTCTTTATGTTTTTAAGTCCCCAAATAAGGTAAAACTCATTCCTCTTTTCCACTCACCTCAGCAGCATCTCCTTTCCTCTTCCCAATTCATCGCTGTCCCTGGCTGCCCTGGGAACAGAGGTGGGGAGCCTGATTCAGCCAGGGATGGAGGCAGTGTCAGGCAAGTTCTTCCTCCTTGTTCAGTTTCCCAGGTACACATGGGGAAGGGAATCCATCTGCTGTTTCTGATTTAAGCCTGGCTGGAGTAGGGCAGGAGCAGTGCTGAAGCTTCCCTCCCCTACCCTCACCCCCACAGCAGCTAGGGAGAACAGCAGCAGTGGGCAAGGGAGGAGAGGAGATGTGCTGCTGTGCACAGAGGGGAAGAGGTAAGGAAGGGAAGGTTCTTACCTGATTAATGGACTTAAAAAAAAAAAAAAAGAAGCCAAAAAGAAGCAAAAAAAAGTCACCAGTTGCTTTTCT